CTGACAATGAATAAGACATGTGCTTTTGTACCTATTTAATAGAATAATCTCCAAGAATTAATACTTGTAATTATGACGTCATCATCGAGCATGCGATGACAATGTGACCAAATTCTTTACCGTCTATAAACTTTTTTTTGCAATAAACATGATATGTATACATAGCCAAAATGGACTACTTATAATCAGGTATCAATTGTGCAAAAGAAATACTGTTAATAAAGTGAAGAAAATAGTAACTAAAAAAGAAATGCTTCTCTGCAAATGAATTCGACTTTTTTCTTCAAGGTGTTTTTTTCCAGAAAGGAAGATAATCTAAATTCCGTACTTCACATACGGTTCTGTATTAATATACTAAAAGCAACATACCGTTATCCTGTGTGCATGATAAATTGCTTTGTCCAAATAATGTGTACATAGTGTGTGAAGGCAGTGGTTACTGGCAGTAGCGTAACCAGTGCGCGGAGTTTGTTAATATTGTTAATTTATAGAGGCATATTAGGAAATAACTTTGTAACAGTTGTCATTACGGATCAATTTCTTTTGATAGAAAATTCCAGCACATTCGGTTCCAGACAGACACCAGAATAACACTCGAAAGCAAGAAAAAGTTGATTCAAGTCTCGAAGTAACCAGGATTCCGGTTCAGTTCAGGTGTCCGTCCATGAGTTTTTACGCCTGGGAGTGTCAAAAGAGCGCAACAGATATTTGGTGCGAAGCGTGCGAGCGTTTGTTAGTCAAGACAATCAGTCTTGTTAATTGTGATCTAGGTGCACTGTTATAACAGTTTAGTGCATAAACATATTTCAAACTTCTTGTTTCTATGTTCATCATACGGCATTATATAATTGTTTTACAATTTTCTACACTGTTTTGTTTTAAAGAATAAAAAAGTGAACGTAAATATTTTTTTTTTCATAGTCGTAAAGATAATAAACGTTAAAATATGAAGACTTATTGTTTCTTTCTTTGTATTGGGTATATACTTAACAATTTGTCTGCTGACTTGATGTTTCCACCTATGTGACCAGTGCTTATAAAAAAATACCAACACACCTGTGATTTCTGATCGTGGTCTGCAATAATTGCTTTTCAGTCGGTACATATTTTGAAAAAAATTCTAGCAAAGATAATAAATGGTTTTTTGTCCAGATTTAAGATATTTAGCATGGTAATGATTGATATACAAATGATAAGCTGTGTATGATACGCTCGTTCATAATGTAATTACGTTGCTAAGCAACGATAATAGTCGCAATTAGCGAGAAGACACTTATTTACATAACTTTATTACTAATCTATCGCCGTTGCTTTTTTCATTTATTTCAATTCTTTGCATGATTATTTTGCAAATAGTAACATTATAGAAGGTGTAACATTAATTTTAATGCTGAAGTACTTGGCATTGTGAAATTGTTTATTATTCTATATGATGACGACTCTGTTATTTTTTTTTGAGTCAGCAAAATATTTACAATTTGTCATAGCCTATTCACGGTTGTGAATGCTGGGGATATGGTAATAACAGTATACTTGAAAAGGTATAACTGAAATATCTTAGACATATATTAGACCTTAAAATTGTATTGTGTATGTCGAATGTGGTGTTTAACCAATTTCTATTGATATTGATTGTAGAATAATTAACTTTTGGTCTGATATAGTTGTACTTAATAAATTTTAACTGTCTAGCACATTTTATCAAATTGCTTTTGAAACTTATAATACAAGTAGTATTGATAGATAATAGACAGACATTTCTGTGCTTTTAGCATATTAAAAATATACTTGTATGGATCTATCAGATGTTTCCTGATCATAAGCGGTTAGCAAAAATTGTCAGATTTATTTCTAAATGACTGGCATTGTACAGAATCGAGTAAATGTAAAAAAATATAAATTATCTAAAGAAAAATTACATTTCGAACACTATTTAACAAATATACCAAAAAAAAACGTACTAAGATATGTAACAACAAACAGCAGGCTTCCTGTAGAAACCGGAAGTTGGAATGGTATAGATTTAAATTTACGTAAATATATACAGCTCCGGAAGTATTGGAGATGAATTCCAATATCTCTTTGAATGCAATAAATTATCTGTACTAAGAAAAAGAATGTTAGATCGTAATTATGTACGAGATCCAAATTTTATTAACTTTTAAATCTATTATGAATATGTATAACACTCACTGTAATGAATACAGTAATTTTTGGCGTCCGCGCCGAAGCGCGGCGCCCCTTATGGAATGACATCAGATTTTGTGAAAGGGCGACAGCAACTTCTCGAGCCTTTTAGTCGCTCATATTAAAACCGATCATTCCGATCGGTATGAGGGTGCTTGATTATTAATTAAAAATGAAATGTCGCGATATGTACAATGAATTGCGAACTGTAGAATTTCGCAATGCAAACATTTTCAAATGAAATAACCTTTTCCGTAAAAAAATCGCGCTCTTCAGGGTATTTTTATTTATCATTTTGTAGTACACAGTGGGTTATTATGGTATGTTATTGTTGTACGTGTATCCGAAAGCTGTAAATAGAATGATGAGTTGATGACCTAAATATTCCAAAAATCTATTTATAGAGGGATGTACTCCTATCGGTAATTCCCGGTGTCTTGATAGGGATTTACTAGTGACAGGCGAATAGTACCACACGTTTATTGGCCGGTCTCTCCCGGTTTTGGAGTAGATGTTTGATATGGTTACAGAACAGAACAAATATTTTACAGATAAATAAGCTTTTTTTTTGTCAAAATGAATGTTTGTCACTTAGTTTGATTACAATAATTAATAAACACAGATCAACTCTCAAATTTATTGATTATTATTATACATAAACATACAATTCGAAAAAAAAACCCAACAACAACAATAGCATATGCTTTATTTTATCTATATGAGATAAAAACAATAAATATGTACAACAATTGAGAACAAATGTACATTTTTATGGTATTAATATGACACTATCAACTTTGAAACATTTTATTCAATTTGTTATTCGTGTTTAGTAAAGATGTTGAGGAATTATTCAAAGTTACAAATTAGATTTTATGAATTATTCAATTGATTGATAATTTAAAAAATGATAAAGAAAAATACAAATGTACATGTATATAGTTTAAGAATAAACAATTCTATATATTGAAAGACTTTTTCCAGTTAAGTTTTGACTTATAATCGTCGGTCAATATGACAATTGAATTCTTAAAATAGTAGTAAACGTAAAAACTCAGTATTAAAATAGCACATAAAACACAAAAAAGCAAATAGAACAATATTCTTAAAATCTGTATTTTTTTTATTGAAATAGATATTACAATTACGCTCAACATGATCAACATGGTAATATAACCAGTGTCATATTGTTATTAAGTGTGAAGGGGGTCTTCGCTAATAGCAATAACATAATAAGGGACAATTACACAAGTGTGGTGTTGATCATGCGTTACACATATGGATTATAAATGATTGTATACATGTATATCCGTTGCTATTAATAACCACGACCATAAAGAAATAACAAGTAATATACTAATCTCTAGCATGCCAATCAAAGTTAATAATGAACAATGTCTTTCGTCCGTTTATTCATTCATAAGTGATATACAATTCTGGTAAAAACGAATTAACCATTGAAAAGTTTATAAGAATAGCTCTACAAGTTCATCAACACCTGCTGCATTTCTTGCTTGGACGCCCTTTGATGCTTTACATCGAAGCTTTTCTTGTTGTTTATTTGTTATGGATTCGAAGTATTCACTAAATTTGATAACAGATTGCTACATATTTGTTCATAATGTCTTTGAAAATGCGTGTCTTTCTCCATTTGGTTAAGATGAATTGTATTAATATTATTATTTTCATGTGTATGCTATGCCTCTTTATGTTATATATGCTTATATGCTATAGCTCATATTGTCATGTGTGGACATGAATTGAGTTCTGAAATTAACTTTGCAACTTATTTTTTTAAAGTTAGATCAAACTAATTGAGTTGATTTAAGATAAATAAAATTGTCGCTTTAAAATTCTTCAATCAATAATAAAAGTCAATTATATTTTTCGACATCATTTGTTAATAAAGTGTTCAAATATAGGACGTTGTTTAAATATGTATATCTCGATAAATAACCTTTTGATTTAAAAATAGTTTTCACTATCTTATGTAGAATGATAATCTACAAAAAAAAAAAAAAGAAAATACAAACAAATTTCGAAAAAATATCATAAAGACCGTTTTTTTTCGCGCCGTGCGTCATATGTAAATTCATTTTAAGTTTATTGTCAAGTAATAAAAGAAACATTAGTTTAAATACCATGATATTTTACTTTAAACAATATTATAACTCTGGGACAATGGTATCTGACCGGCTGTTATATACAAATGCGCATCGGGTGACCTTCTTAAGCGTCGATGTTAGATTTGAATTGAATCATTTAATGTTTTTTTCGAGGAAGAAACAAATGCACAGGTATCATAGTTTTAAAATAGAAAAGGTAAACTTACTGTGTGTACTGTCTACAAAAGTCCTTCATCTCATAGAATATATAAAAGTATATAAATATACATGTATGCTTTGATAATTATATTATATTTTCTTTAAACAAAGAACATCAAACAGACAACACAAACAACAACAACCAGAATGCTGTCATAGTAATGGGAATAATTATAGCCATATTGGTGGTTAGTTTAACTGTGTCTTTGATTTTACTGTGGAGAGCACGATTCTTCCAAATGTAGGTGATTTTCTAAACCAATAATAAAAAGTGAAACAATAAAAGACGATAAACAAATAAAGATAAAATCAATGTTGATTGATTTAATAGATTTAATTTATTTCGATATAAAATAATCGGTTTTGTTCTGATTTGATACATTTTCTGTTTTGGATATTAGCAAAAAAAGTTTCTTGCATTTCTAACTTTGATTTATATAAGCTGCAGTTTGCACATCTAAAATCTCATGACTATAAGCTTTCTAACAATTTTGCCGTTGTTTAATTTATTTATTTTAGTAATACAGTTGACAAAACAATGTCACCTGAAAATAAAATTAAGGAAGCTGGTGACAGTAAGTGTACATTTTGTTGTATACATATCTAACGAATTGTTTATCAATCAAAATTCATTACGAACCCATTACTGTGTTTTATTTATAACAATGCACATACGAATTTAACACAAAGTTTTATTGATGTATAAATTTATATGCAATATCCATTTGAATAAACCTTGCCGGTTTTTAGCAGTGATTAATTTGACTATGAATTTAATATTTATTTCTATGTTTTCTACTCAATACCAGTGTCATTAACAAAACCATGTGTTTTTGTGTAAACCAAGCAATCTGGTGACTGTGTACTAACCAAGATAGTATAAAACTGTGCAGTAAAAAGTGTAAATGTGTTTGTTCATAGTATTTATAATATGTTTTTACCATGCCTCCTCAAAGGAAACATTGAAAATATATTAACTTTGATTCTTATATTGCATGTTTAACTTTCTACTTTCAGAGCACATCACATCTAAGAAAAACCCTGTTTACTACAATGTGATGGAGACGGGTTTAGGTACTAGGCGATTTACGTCTTAAATGATAAATCTATCATAACTATATTTTACTGGATATATACTTTTATATTTTGAAAAATGATTACCTTGTTTCAAACGATTTCTTGTAACATATTATACCCGTTCCATTAATCTCTGTGCAGTATATTAACAGAGGGAATAATTATCATTTTTATTTGTTTGGGTCGTCAGACCAAACAAATAATGGTAGCGAAATTTCAGACTCTACTGCTGTTAATTGCAAATGCCGAAAGTAGTCCGCTTTTTTGAAGCGGTTACTTCCCTTTATATGTAACACTAAGACCGAACAATTCAGGGGAGATCACTGCGTAAATATGGTCACATGACAGGCGCATTAATTTTCAAGCAAAATAATTCCCGAATGGTCGAAGATTTCTAATATTGTTTTATTCTTTATAGATATACATGCTTATAGAAAGCGCCATGATTATTTACAACAGTAAGCGTCGTTACAAACCCAAATTTAGAACAATATGGTTTTCTTCAGGCCGTTAACATATATTTACCGTGGCCGAGGGGTTTGCGCGCTCGCTTAGGAAGCGAGAGGTCTGGAGTTCAAATCCCAGTTAAGGCAACTCATATTTTTTTAAATTGTTTAAGTCAAATAAACATTGGATTGAATATCAGTGTTGCAATTAGTCTTATAGCCTATCTACTACAATAAAAAAGTGGAAAACATTGGTGGCACTATACAAAAAACAAATTGTTTTATAATCTCACAACCTTCACATTTCTGACATTCTGAGACCCAAACAAATTCAGCGCCTTCTGTGCCTTGATTATGGTTGTCAACACATGTGGCCCAATTATTTGATTAGAAAAGTATTTAAAAAATTGAATAGCTTCTTTACCTGAAAGAGTCAAAAGTCTCTGTCGGGATTTAAACTCTCAATTGTATGAGGCAAATGGTTTGAAGTCAACGAGCTTAACCACTAAGCACCGGACGCCCCTGCAGAGATATTTCAGTACATCACGAAATGTCAGAAGAAAATGTTCAATGAAAACAATATTTTTCAGATTGACAGATTACTAAAGAGACAGACAAAAACGAGTATGAGAAGATTAATTCCCTTCATGGTAATCTTTAAAAACAGATATTTATAGAATATTTGACCTAATTATGATAATCCATTTGGCAATATTGTTGTAACACCTTTCATCAAAGTGTTTTTGGAGCTACTGATGTTTAGATTATGATATTACAACGAATAAGAAAATACTTCTTTAAATGATATATGTTGGTAAAACAACATTACTAAATTAATGCCCGGGTGTGTTCAGACCTCATCAGGGGCAAGCCGTTATTTCCGTGAACAATACATTTACACTCATTGCTTAGTACTGGCTGTTTCAAAGAAGAGATTCGAGAGTGTTTGAGTAAGCGTTTAGCTTCCAACGCAATCAAACTTAGATATATTAGTATGGACTAAACCAACTTTAAACAAAGCTTATACTAGGCGTATATGGCAGTAACGACCGATACGGGATTAGTTTGAAATTTCATTTTAAATATTTTGATTTATCACATAAACCCTGGCGCAGTAGTGTAATAAAACCATTTAATAAAAATGATATTACACTTGTGTAATAACACTTTGACGTGACGTCATTTGCGCTATATAGAAACATAGCGTTAAAGCGCGCTAATGTTAGCGTTACACTATAGGCGCGTCATTGAAAAATTACTCATTTTAACAGTTTACTGTTCTTATTTTATATATGTGATAAACAGAATATTATATTCGTGTAGATTTAATACTAAATTTATTGAACTCGTTGAATAAAACAATATTATGATTTTTTTCAACTCGTTCAATAAATTTAGTATTAAACTAGACTCATTCAATATCCTCTATATATTTGATTACTATTGTATTAAATAACCATTAAAATAATGAATGATATACATGTTATTCCTTTATTTTCAGTTTCAGAACACGAGTATGGGCATATTACGGTTGGTGTTTAAAGTACCGGTAAGTCATGAAATTTAACGTATTTCTTTTTATAAAAAATCACACGTACATTAAACTGAGTGACGTAAACAACATAGAAAACTGTTGTTGTTTTTTAAGAAGTAATTTGTTTCTAAGCTTAACTTAGAATGAAGCATAAAAGGCGTTTACTTTTAGATTAGATACTCGGCAATTATACGAGTCGTAGACATGGTATAACAAGATGTTGCCAGTATTGCTAGACATTTGTTCACTCGCCCCTACCGCTGTAAGTTCAAATCCCGCCAAAGACTTTGAATTCTTCCATGTAAGGAAGCTAACCGGACGTCGATGGTTCTACTCACATTTACGCTCCTGTCTGAAATTACACACGGAGGAACACTTGAGTTCTTCCTCTACTAGTAAGCTGGAAAGTAGCCAAAATTAAATAGCTATACTCATATATCAGAATTAATATTTCTAATATTTCAGACAATTCTTGGTAAAATTTAGTTTCATGGACGTATCTGTATTTCGAGGTTAGTTTGAATTATTTAACATATTTATTTCCGCTTCTTCGAACTACCCTGTACTTGTGAACCAACATGGTCGTGACCCCGGTAGGGCTCGAACCAAAGACACAGAGTTTTCTTTTATAGTATACTTTAAAAGTCTGATCATTTTAGGGCGCAACAGGGAATGTCGTGAAGTGAACCATATCAGAAATGACAGCATCTTGAGTTCATTCTGTAAGCAAGGTAACAGTGGGATAAATTGTATTGAACAAAATGCCGGGCAAGTTCAGTTTAATTTTTCTTGTTGTGCATGAGTACACAAACATAAAAATTGCAGAACAATGGTAAATAATCTGATTATTATGTAGTCATAGTATATTTATTATTATTTGATACTTTTGTTGTCGAATATTCATGGAATAGGCGAACGGAGTTACATCTCCGTTAAAGGATATAGTTGGTACTAAAGTAGTTTTTTAAATAATGTCCCGTACAATGGTCTTACATAGCGGCCACATCAATGCTTAGATAAACGACAATGCTAAGTAGCAAACTAAAATCTGCTAGCTTTACAAATTTTAAACATTCAACCAAAGAAGAACACAGAGCAGTGTCAAATTATTATATTTGTTGTCCCATAAAATCCGCCTCTCTTAAAATATACTGGGATCTTTTGAAAAAGAGAAGAAAAATATGAGCGTGAACAATTTACGCGTACATAATGCAATCATAGCGTATGTGAGAAGTAAGCAGTGAACAGTGAGCTAAGCAAAAAGGCATTTCAATTTATATAGGGAAGGTAATGATCTGCTGTAATGCTCAGCTGTTTTGGGCATCTAGCAGGGCATTCCTAAATATAGTGTAAAAATGCTCTGCTGCAATACTTAGCTGTCTTGGCAATCTAGCAGAGCATTCCTAGCTTTAGTGAAAAAATGCTCTGCTGGAACGCTCAGCTGGCTAGGCAATCTAGCAGTGCATTACTAAATATAGTGTTAAAATGCTCTGCTGGAATGCTCAGCTGGCTAGCTAAAGTGGGTAGGAAATCTAGCAGGGCATTACTAAATATAGTGTAAAAATGCTCTGCTGGAATGCTAAGCTGGCTAGGCAATCTAGCAGGACATTACTATTTATAGTATACAAATGCTCTGCTGGAATGCTAAGCTGGCTATGCAATCTAGCAGGGCATTCCTAAATATAGTGAAAAAATGCTCTGCTGAAATGCTAAGCTGGCTAGGCCATCTAGCAGAGCATTACTAAATATAGTGGTAAAAATGCTCTGCTGGAATGCTAAGCTGGGTTAGGCAAATCTAACAGGACATTACTAAAAAACAGTGTTAAAAAATGCTCTGCTGGAATGCTAAGCTGGCTAGGCAATCTAGCAGGACATTACTAAATATAGTGTACAAATGCTATTCTGGAATGCTAAGCTGGCTAGGCAATCTAGCAGGGCAATTACTAAATATAGTGTAAAAAATGCTCTGCTGGAATGCTAAGCTGGCTAGGCAATCTAGCAGAGCATTACTAAATATAGTGTAAAAATGCTCTGCTGGAATGCTAAAGCTGGGTTTAGGAAATCTAGCAGGACATTAATAAATACAGTGTAAAAATGCTCTTGCTGGAATGCTAAGCTGGCTAGACAATCTAGCAGAGCATTACTAAATATATTGAACAAATGCTTTTCTGGAATGCTAAGCTGGCTAGGCATTCTAGCAGGGCATTACTAAATACAGTGTAAAAATGCTCTGCTTGAATGCTAAGCTGGCTAGGCAATCTAGCAGGGCATTACTAATATATAATGTAAAAATGCTCTGCTGGAATGCTAAGCTGGCTAGGCAATCTAGCAGGGCATTCCTTAATATAGTGTAAAAATGCTCTGTTGGAATGCTAAGCTGCTAGGCAATCTAGCAAGAGCATTACGAAATATAGTGTAAAAATGCTCTGCTGGAATGCTAAGCTGGCTAGGCAATCTAGCAGGGCATTACTAAATAAAGTGTTAAATGCTCTGGCTGGAATGCTCAGCTGGCTAGGCAATCTAGCAGAGCATTACTTAATATAGTGTAAAAATGCTCTGCTGGAATGCTAGAGCTGGGTAGGAAATCTAGCAGGACATTACTAAATACAGTGAAAAAATGCTCTGCTGAATGCTAAGCTGGCTAGACAATCTAGCAGAGCATTACTAAATATATTGAACAAATGCTTTTCTGGAATGCTAAGCTGGCTAGGCAATCTAGAGGGCATTACTAAATACAGTGTAAAATGCTCTGCCTTGAATGCTAAGCTGGCTAGGCAATCTAGCAGGGCATTACTAAATATAGTGTAAAAATGCTCTGCTGGAATGCTAAGCTGGCTAGGCAATCTAGCAGGGCATTCCTTAATATAGTGTAAAAATGCTCTGTTGGAATGCTAAGCTGCTAGGCAATCTAGCAGAGCATTACGAAATATAGTGTAAAAATGCTCTGCTGGAATGCTAAGCTGGCTAGGCAATCTAGCAGGGCATTACTAAATAAAGTGTTAAAATGCTCTGCAGGAATGCTCAGCTGGCTAGGCACTATTGCAGAGCATTTCTTAATATAGTGAAAAAAATGCTCTGGTGGAATGCTCAGCTGGCTAGGCAATCTAGCATGGCATTACTAAATATGGTGTAAAAATGCTGTGGTGGAATGCTAAGCTGGCTAGGCAATCTAGCAAGGCATTCCGAAATATAGTTAAAAAATGCTCTGGTGGAATGCTCAGTTGGCAGACTGATTCTGAGTTCCAGGATTTATTGTTGCAAAAGTTTTATTGACATTTTCGACTTCTAGGCAATTCTGAGGTACTCGCAGACTTTCAGGAATTTTCGGTGCAAATAGAAATAATGATATTTTTGACTTCTAAGGACGTTTAAGAGACTATTTCATTGTCCTGCGACTTTTCGGACACTCGCAGATTTTCAGGAATTTTGGTGCCAATGCTGATATAGACAATTAAGACTTCTAGGGACCCTCAAGAGTCCATTTTGGTCGTCTGCGATTGATTCTTGGACACTCGCAGACTTTCAGGAATGGTTGGTGCCAATGGAAATATTCATATTTTTGACTTCTAGGAACCTTTAAGAGTCCATTTCATTGGCCTGCAGCGTATTGTTGGACACTCGCTGACTTTCAGGAAAGTTTGGTGCCAATAGAGATGATGGCAATTTTTACTTCTAGGGACCGCCAGAGTACATTTTTTATGGTCTGCGACTGAATCTGGGACATTCGCAGACTTTCAGGAATCTCTTGTGCCAATGGAGATAATGACATTTTTGACTGCTAGCGATCCCCCAGAGTTCATTTCGCTGGTCTGCGACTGATTTTGGGACACTTGCAGACTTTCAGGAATTTTGATGCCAATGGAGATAATGACATTTCTGACTTATAGGGAACCGCCAGAGTACATTTCTTGGGTCTGCGACTGATTCCTTGAGACTCGCAGACTTTCAAGGAAAGTTTGGTGCCAATAGAGATTATGGGCAATTTTTACTTCTAGGGACCCGCCAGAGTACATTTTTATGGTCTGCGACTGAATCTGGGACATTCGCAGACTTTCAGGAATCTCTGGTACCAATGGAGATAATGACATTTTTGACTTCTAGCGATCCCCCAGAGTTCATTTCGCTGGTCTGCGACTGATTTTGGGACACTTGCAGACTTTCAGGAATTTTGATGCCAATGGAGATAATGACATTTCTGACTTTTAGGGAACCGCCAGAGTACATTTCTTGGGTCTGCGACTGATTCCTTGAGACTCGCAGACTTTCAGGATGATAAGTGCCATTGCAGATCATGACTTTTTTTACTTTTAAGGACCCTTAAGTCATAAGCAGAGCATTTTTTACCCTAAAATGTCATTATCTGCATTAGCACCAAAAATTCCTGAAAGTCTGCAAGTGCCCTATAATCAGTCGCAGACCAACGAAAAAGGACTCTGGATGGTCAAAAATGTCATAAATTGTAATTATCTCTATTGGCACCAACAATTCCTGAAAGTCTGTGACTGTCCAAGATTAAGTCGCAGACCAAAAAAATGGACCCTGGATGGTCCCTAGAAGTAAAAAAAATGTGTCATTATCTGCCTTGACATAAAAAATTCCTGAAAATCTGTGAGTGCCTCAGAATCAGTCGCAGACCAAAAAAATGGATTCAGAAAGGTCCAATAAGTCAGAAATATCATTTTCTGCATTGACATCAAAATTCCTGAAAGTCTGCGAGTGACTCAGAATCAGTCGCAGACCAACGAAATAGACTCAGGAGGTCCTTTTTGAAGTAAAAATGTCATTATCTCCATTGGCACCGAAAATTTCTGAAAAGTCTGCGAGTGTTCCAGAAACATTCGCAGACCAACGAAATGGACTCTGGATGGTCCTATAAAATTCACAAATGTCATTATCTGCATTAACACCAAAATTCCTGAAAGTCTGCGATCGTCCAAGAATCAGTCGGAGACCAAAGAAATAGACACTTGAGGGTCCCGTAGAAGTCAAAAATGTCATTATCTGCATTGGCACTAAATATTTCAGAAA